TGTGCGTGTGCGCGTCCTCAGGCCCGTCATCCCGGTGCTGGTGCTTGTGCTGGTGCTGGTGCTGTCGCTGTCTCCTCTCTGCAGGCTACTCTTCAGCACGGCCTTCATCTGCTCGTGTTCAGCTGCGTCCTTAGCGTGACATAAACCCTGCGGCTCTGTCTGCGGCCCGACAGCGGGAGCGGTACTGCTGCTGCCGCCACTGCTCACACACACACGACCCACCTGCACACACACACACACAGACCATCACAAACTAGACACTGATTATACAGGAACACAGTTAGAGATGATCTGAGCTGCTGGTTTTTTCTAGTAATGTAGAACAGGGTTTACCAAACTGGGGTTCATGAGGTGACAGTTCATAAATCATAAAAATATATATTCATAATATGTAAAAATGTAAAAACAATAAAAATAAAAAAGTTACATTTTAAATATATACAAAAGTGTAAAATTAAAATAAATGAATATTTGAAAATAAAAACAATCAAAATAAACACTCAAATCTAAATACATCATAAAAATGTAAATGTAAAAAAAATCATAAACATGTTAATAAAAAACATAATATGTAAAAATGTAAAAACAAAATAAAAAAGCTACAAATTTAAATATATACAAAAATGTAAAATAAAATATATTAATATTTGAAAATAAACAATCAAAATAAACACTAAAATCTAAATACATCATAAAAATGTAAAATTAAAATAAATGAATAATTTTAAAATAAAAATATCAAAATATAACACTCACTAAAATTTGAATAAATCATAAAAACAAAAATAAAAATAAATAATGTTAAAACACTTCAGTAAATTTAAATAAAACTTATTTTAATAATTTTTAAATAACTTTAAATAATTAAAAGTACCAAAGTAAAATTTAAATAATAATGTTAAAATAAAAACAATCAAAATAAAACAATAAAATCATAAAAATAAATACTTAAAACATATTATTTGAAAAAAAATACTAACTTTAATTAAATAAATTATAAAAATTAAAATTAAGAAATAATTCAAAAATAAAGAAAAAAGTAAAACACTTACTAAATTTTTGTACAATTTTTAGTATTTAATATTAAAATATTTTATTTGTTTACCTGCAATCAATGTGACCATTAAACAACATCAGAGAACCATGAATGTGTTGTTAAATTACTGAAAAATTTTGAGGGGACTAAAACACACACATACACACCATCCAAATCATGACAAAAACACAGCTGAGCAATTTCAGGTTAGAAATGCCACACCTGAGAGCACAAGTGCAGATCTGAACAGGGTTATACACTGATACACGATTAGTGACGCTGTGAGCTTTAACAAGCCATTAAAACATGAAGGGTTGATATTCGTCAGACAGAGAGCAGAACAAACGCACACCCTCATACCTCACTGTCCTCTTCATCATCCGTCTGTGGTGAGAAAAAGAGAAATCAACCATCAGCAGACCGCCTACAGACTCAAGTAGTGTGTTACTGATTATTATACCAGCAGATTTATGAATGTTCATCAATCTAGTCCCGCCCACAGCCCCGAATAATCACAACTCTTGCTCCGCCCACATCACTGTATAACTCAAAAATATTAACAACTCTAGCTCCACCCACATCACTGAATAATAACTCTAACTCCGCCCACATCACTGAATAACAACAACTCTGGTCCCGCCCACATCACTGAATAATAACATCTCTAGCTCCGTCCACATCACTGAATAATAACTCTAACTCCGCCCACATCACTGAATAACAACAACTCTGGTCCCGTCCACATCACTGAATAATAACATATCTAGCTCCACCCACATCACTGAATAATAACTCTAGCTCCGCCCACATCACTGAATAATAACTCTAACTCCGCCCACATCACTGAATAACAACAACTCTGGTCCCGTCCACATCACTGAATAATAACATATCTAGCTCCACCCACATCACTGAATAATAACTCAAACTCCGCCCACATCACTGAATAACAACAACTCTGGTCCCGCCCACATCACTGAATAATAACATCTCTAGCTCTGTCCACATCACTGAATAATAACTTAAACTCTGCCCACCTCACTAAACAATAACAACTCTAGTCCCACCCATATCACTGAATAATAACTGTAGAAATAATAACTGCAATAATAACTCTAGCTCCACCCTCATCACTGAATAATAACAACAACTCTGGTCTAACTCTGTCCACATCACTAAATGATAACAACTCTAGCTCCGCCCACATCACTGAATAATAACTATAGCTCCGCCCACATCACTGAATGATAAAAACTCTAGTCCCGTTGATTCTCGGTGCGAGAATAAAATCACAGCAGTGTTATGAGATAAAATAAAGTGAACAATCAGACTCATTAGAGAATAATTAAAACAGCCATGCCCTCACAACACAGACTGCTCTCAATAAGGTCCTGTATGTGACCTCTCAAAGCACACTGAGGGGATTCAGAACACTTCATGCCCTTTTCTCCTCTCATCAGAATCCAAAAGATCTGCTCCAAAAGATGGCGCTGTTTCTCCGTGCGACGACTCGTGATTGTTATTTCAGTCTTTAAACAGCTGTAAACTCGCTCAAGTGAAGTTAGGTTAAGCCATATCTCATTTGGGATTTCAGCACACAGTGTCTCCACCATTAAAAAGCACTGAGAAACTGTCAAACTGTGAAGATGTGAATGGAGCGGTGAGTGAACGACGAGCAGAAGAGGCCAGAATAAACGCTGCACATGTTCAAATATATAATCACGGCTTACTGGACGAATCCCTGAGCGATTCTTCAGGCCTGCAGGGAACATTAACACTAACTGGCATTAAAAGTGTGAAAACACATTTGAGCTGTTACGCAGCGATCATGTTCCTCTTTACACTGTCGCATCAGGATCGCTGCTTGTGCATTTAACACACGAAAGAAAACACGGTTCTGATCTGAAAAGTGAAAGGGTGGGTTAGTTTAGGATAGGGTTTTGCCATCATAAAAATTTATAAATTAAAAGAAATTATTTTAAAATAAAAACAATCAAAAAGAATATTTATTAAACATTAATTAAAATCATAAAAATTAAGATGTATTTAAATGTATTTAAATCACAAAATGTAAATTCATACAAAAATCATACAAATAAATCATTTTAAAATCACTCAAAATTTAAATCATACAAGTGTAAAAAAAAAAAACTTTGAAACACAAACAAAATAAAATACTAAAAAAATATTAAAATCATAGAAAATGTAAAATAAAAATGAATCATTTTAAAATAAAATCAATAAAAATAAAACAATCTATTAAAATCATAAAAATGAAAAATAAAACATTTTAAAATAAACAATTAAAATATAATAATAAAAATGTATTAAAATTATAATAATGTAAAATAAAAAAATAAATCATTTAAAAACAAAAACAATCAAAATAAAATATCTACTAAAACAAATTAAAATTAAAACCATTACAAATCAATCAAAATAAAATACTAAAAAATCTAAATCATAAAAATGTAAAATAAATCTTTTAAAAATAAAAACAATCAAAATAAAATATTAAGCGTTAATTATTAAACCCATAAAAATGTCAAATAAAAAAAATGTAAAAACAATCAAAATAAAACACTTACTAAAATGAATAAAAGTAAAAATGTAGAATAAAACTAAATCATAGTAAAAAGCAAAGAATCCTAATAAAACCCACAGTGTATTTGTGTGCATGCGTGTGGATCTCACCTGTGTGCTGAGGTCTGTGATCATCTTCCCTCGCGTCTTGTTCCTCTCTCTGTGATCGGCGCGCTTCTGTCTCTGCTGCAGGACGCGCTCGCGAGTGGTGCGGTACTCCAGAGCGAACTCGCTGAGGAGCTTACTGAACCGAGTCACGCTGATCTCACGGACGCTGTACGCCGGCTGACCCAGGAACAGCAGAAACCAGTGAAACCTGCCACACAAACAACACGATTAAAACCAGCACTCGTGTCATTTAACACACGGATCAAATGTAACAGATGTTTGTAAGTGTAACAGTGGGAGCGCTCACTCTTCACCTGTTCATGATCCTGCGGTGGACAGTTTTGAGGATGATGATTCTCTCGGCGCAGTCCTTCAGGAAGTCTGACATCTTCTGCTTCAGCGCCGGCTTCATCTCGTGCTTTGCGATGACTTTCAGGTGGTCCCATGATGCTTTGCAGCGCCACTCCATCTGAGTCAGAGTCTCCTGCAGCTGGTCGAAGTCCACCTGCGGACCGGCGTTACTTCAGCTGCATTCATGTACTGTTATACTTTATTATTACAGTTAGTAATATTTTGATTTAGCTCTTTATAGATATATATTTTTTTATTATTATTATTTTTTTTAATTCAAGTTTTAGTACGTGTTTTTGTCTTTTTTTTTTTTCTAGGTCTATATAGTTTTTAGTAATTTTTATTTAATTTAATAATTTTTCATTCCGTTTTTGCAAGTTCTTTTCATGTGTGTTAGATTTTTTTAGATTGTAACATTCCAAAATAGCAGAAATGTAACATTCTAAGGCAAAATGTAACATTCGATGGCGAATATATGTTTATACAGTTTTATTATTGCTTTTTATTTTCATTTTATTAATTTGTATTTAATTTAATATATTTTTATTCCACATTTGCAAGTTTTTTCCTCATTTGTATTCATTTTTTAATCTTTTTTTTTTTCATTTTTATTCCTCGTTTTTTATTAATTTTTATTAATTTTTTAAAAATATGTCTAAATAGTTTTTTATTAATTTCCATTTTTATTTGATAACTTTTTATTTTATTTAATACATTTTTATTCTTAATTCATAAGTCGCTTTGGATAAAAGCATCTGCTAAATCAACAAATGTAAATGTATTTTATGAACGTTTAAGTTTTTGTATATATTATTTTATTTCAGTTAACGTTTATTTTATTTCAAACAACACAATTTTTTTTAATGGTTGCAGTTTTAGTTAGCGCTAATAACCCTGCACTTCACAGCTGTCTCTCTAAACACGTTCATGCACAGCAGCATCAGAACACGGAGCATCAGAACACGCGTGTGCGGTGCGTGTGTTACCTTAGCGGAGCGCGTGACGGCGCCGATCTCAGAGTACAGGTCTGTGCCGTCGGGGAAGTTCTCCACCACGATACTGCAGACGTGATGCAGGAGAGACTGCTTATGAACCGTGTCCTTCACTTCAGGAACCTTCTCCAGATATGTCAGATCGAAGCCTTTGGCCTGCGCAAACAATCACTGTCTATAAAGCACAGACTGAGTAAATCAATAACACATTTCAGTGCGTGTCGTGCTGAAATCTCACGTTGGAGCCGTTCAGGAGGTTTCCAATCGCCAGCAGAGTCGATAAGATGAAGCGCAGCGTTTTGTTCTTCTCCAGCTGATCCATGCCCTCCTTCAGGTCCTGTAGCGGCTCGGCCACTTCCTGTCAAACCGGAAACACTGCACGATTAACGCCGTCATTTAGAGCTTCTATTAGTTTTATTAAAAGTTTGAATCAGTTTTTATATTTAGATTTTCTGTTAGTTTTGTTATGTGTTTTGTCATTTTTACTAGATTGTGTTTTTTTTTTTTTGTAATATGTCTATGTGGTTTTTATTTTATTTAAATTTTTTCAGTTTTAGTTATAATTATATAGTATATCAAGTTAAACTAAATGGAATTTAAATTTTATTTCATATAAAGTTTATTTCAAGTAATGAAGGTTTCTATACTTTTTTTATTTTACTTACATTTTTAGTCATCTTGTATGTTTTTGTCATTTTTATTATTTTTTGTCTATATAGTTTTTATTAACATTATTTTAGTTTTAGTTATTTGTAGTACATCAAAAATGAGAAATGTTTCCTTGGCAACTAGTTGAAATTAAATAAGATTGTTGAAATAATTTTTTTAATATTTCATTTCAGATAAAGTATATTTTAAGAAATGAAAATTTTTATGCTTTTCAGTTAAAGTTTAGTAATTTTTTTATTGTGTGTTTTTGTCATTTTTATTATTTATGTTTTTTAATGTCTATATAGCTTTTATAAATTTTTATTTAAATGTTAACATTTGTTTATTTATTTATTTATTTAAATTTAAAAATTGTTTTTTATTTCAGTTAACTTTTATTTTAAATAAAACATTTTTTTTTTTTTATGATTTTAGTTTTAGTTAACTACAATAACCTGATGATTAATTAACCTATTAAATGCCTGGTGCTTTTTTGACGGAGCTTGAAAGATGAAGCAGCATCTTCAGCAGATGAATTACAGCAGGTACAGATCTGTGAAAAACCACATTCCCGGTGTCTTCAGGATCTTAGATGGAGGAGAAAACAAATGTGTTTCTGGTTATTGAGTCTTTTGTTTGTAGCACACGATGTTCCCCTCCATCAGGACGACTGAAAACATCTCCTGCGTCAGAGGAAAGATAAAACACGACAACCTGAGGAATGCTGGAAACTTCACAGAGAGAGAGAGAGAGATGGGAATGTTCTGTGTTTAAAGGCCTCTGACCGTCTTCACGAACAGTTTCACCGCTGCAGGTAAAGAGAGCGTGTAAACGTCACGTCAGCGGAGACTTATATTAGTACTGATGTAAGTGTAACACTGTAGGACTTTCAAAACATTGATCTGTGTGTTTGATCATGCCGTGCTCTTCATACGTCTTATATGTGTAATCAGTGTAATTTATTACACTACTATAGTTTCTATTAATATTTTGAATTTTATTTTTTTTATATTTTGTTTTAATGTAAAATTTAGTTAAAGTTTTAGTCATTTTGTAGCATGCTTTTGTAATTTTTTAGTTTTAAAGTTTTTATTAATTTTTATTTCAGTTTTATTTATTTTAGTAAATCAAGTTAAACTAACTGAGGAATGTTTCCTTGCCAACTAGCTAAAATAAAATTAAAACATTTATTTAAAAGTGAAAATTAAAAAGTTCAATGTTTTTAAAAAATATTTTATTCAAGTTCAAATTGATTTTATTTTAAGTAACAAAAATATATTTTTATGGTTTTAGTTTTAGTTAACTATAATAACCCTGCATTTAACTTTAATTAATTAATTTTGTCAATTTTTAAATATATTGAAAAACACAGTTGTGTGTACTGACAGATACAATGCTGTTAAAAAGGGTTATTAATGATGCATTAAATTGATTAAAAGTGCCAGTAAACTCATTTATAATGTTACAAAAGATTTCTATTTCAAATAAATGTTGCTCTTTTGAACTTTCTATTCATCTGTGAATCCTGAAAAATAAAATGAATCACTGTTTTCACAAAATATTGTGCAGCACAACTGTTTTCAACATTGATAATACTCAGAAATGTTTCTTGAGCAGCAAATCAGCATATTAGAATGATTTCTGAAGATCATGTGACACTGAAGACTGGAGTAATGATGCTGAAAATACAGCTGCGCATCACAGAAATAAATTACAGTTTAACAGATATTCACATAGAAAACAGATATTTAACATTTCACTGTTTTTACTGTATATTTGATCAAATAAATGCAGCTCTGGTGAGCGTTAGAGACTCAAGCGCTCACTCACCTTCTCGGTGGCTTCATAGTCCAGTTTGAAGGCCCAGAGTTGCAGGCGCGCTGAGAGCTCGCTGATGGAGGACAGTGTCAGCAGGAACTGCTCCGCGCTGCCCAGCGGAATGTCAGGATTCGCCAGCTGAGCCTCCTGGATCTTCTGCGTCTCTTCCTCTGTGGGAATCATCGTCAGGATTTTCTACAGCAGAGAGAAAAACATTGTAATATTCCAAAATGGCAAAAATGTGACATTCTAAAGCAAAATGTAACATTCTAAAATGGGGAAAATGTAACATTCTAAAATGAAATCTAGCATTCTAAGGCAAAATGTAACATTCTATGGCAAAATCTAGCATTCTAAGGCAAAATGTAACATTCTATGGCAAAATCTAGCATTCTAAGGCAAAATCTAGCATTCTAAGGCAAAATCTAGCATTCTAAGGCAAAATCTAGCATTCTAAGGCAAAATCTAGCATTCTAAGGCAAAATCTAGCATTCTAAGGCAAAATGCAACATTCTAAAATGGCAAAACTGTAACATTCTAAAATGGGAAAAATCTAGCATTCTAAGGCAAAATGTAACATTCTAAAATGGCAAAAATGTAACATTCTAAGGCAAAATGTAACATTCTAAAATGGCAAACTGTAACATTCTGAAATGTGGAATCTAATAGATGTGTGTGTTTCTGCACCTCAATGCCCTCTTTGTTGAGCGCATACTCGTCAAAGCTCAGTATGGCAGTTTTGATGGTGCGTGGCGGTGGAAGAACCGTCAGACCGATGTTGATGGAGTTGCTGCGTTTGGAGTCCAGAATGATGATCTCCTGCCGCTTCCCATCCGCTGCTGTTTTCTGGTCGACACACAAATACAATCATCAGCGCAACAAATGGCAGTCTGACAATTCATTCATTTTTCTGAGCAATGACAGTGTCAGCAGGAACTGCTCCGCGCTGCCCAGCGGAATGTCAGGATTCGCCAGCTGAGCCTCCTGGATCTTCTGCGTCTCTTCCTCTGTGGGAATCATCGTCAGGATTTTCTACAGCAGAGAGAAAAACATTGTAATATTCCAAAATGGCAAAAATGTGACATTCTAAGGCTAAATGTAACATTCTAAAGCAAAATGTAACATTCTAAAATGGGGAAAATGTAACATTCTAAGGCTAAATGTAACATTCTAAAATGGGGAAAATGTAACATTCTAAAATGGGGAAAATGTAACATTCTATGGCAAAATCTAGCATTCTAAGGCAAAATGTAACATTTTCTAAGGCAAAATGTAACATTCTAAAATGGCAAAAATGTAACATTCTAAGGCAAAATGTAACATTCTAAAATGGCAAACTGTAACATTCTGAAATGTGGAATCTAATAGATGTGTGTGTTTCTGCACCTCAATGCCCTCTTTGTTGAGCGCATACTCGTCAAAGCTCAGTATGGCAGTTTTGATGGTGCGTGGCGGTGGAAGAACCGTCAGACCGATGTTGATGGAGTTGCTGCGTTTGGAGTCCAGAATGATGATCTCCTGCCGCTTCCCATCCGCTGCTGTTTTCTGTTCGACACACAAATACAATCATCAGCGCAACAAATGGCAGTCTGACAATTCATTCATTTTTCTGAGCAATTCATTAATGCACTGCTTATAAGAGTCATTGGTTCAACCCAATAAATCACAAATTGATTCATTTTTTGAGCAAATTATTTAAGCAGATGTTTAGATGTTTGTTCAATAGCTGGATTCAGTGAGTTAATTTGTGACTGATTCAAACTAATAATGCATGAATTCATTCTCTCTTTCTTTCGAGCAATTCATTAATTCATCGCTTATAAGAGTCAGATGTTAGTTCAACAGCTGGATTCAGTAAATTCATTTGTGTTGGTTCAAAACAAAAATGTATGAATTAATTGTTTTTAAAGCAATTCATTGAAGCATCGCTTATAAGAGTCATTTGTTTTTTGTGCAGTCAAAAAAGACCCCAGAGCAAAACTTCATTTGACTTGAGCAAAACTTGAGCTTTGATTATACTGTGACGGTGTTTCTGCTCACCTTAGTCACGGGCATCTCTTTGGATTTGCTTTCAAACAGGTGTTCAAGTTTAGCCGTGTCAAGTTTGACAGGTTCAAGTCTGGACCAGAGCAACTCTTGGCTGCGTTTGTGGTTGCGGTAGATCCAGTCGGCGGGCCGGACTTCACTCCAGAACAAGCGGATGGTCTTCTTCCTCTTCTGGAAGAGC